GGTCGGGGCTGAACACTCCGGATCTTTAATCTCTGGCTTTCCTGTTGTGTTTGGCTTTGTGGTCACAGTAACAGTAATTGGGACTTTTAGTGAAGGATGCAGTCAGCAGTGGGATGCCACAAACCAGCAAGTCTGGGAGAAGAGCTCGGGGGAAAAGGGACTTGGATTTCAATGGACATGTAAACTGTCTTCTTGGGTGTTTGGAGACGTCTCCTTTTCAGCGGGGAGAATACCCACATTCCTGTCTGGATTACATCCTATAAGAACCAGTTTCCCTTCTCTCATGCTTAGTTAAAGAGCAAAAGTGACACGTATATTACGCTACCGGTTTCAAGTACGGGAAGCTAGAGTCTGTGGAGTCCTTTCTTGGTGGAGTGGTTAAGTGCGCGGACTCTAGTCTGGGAGAACCGGGTTTGATTCCCCCACTCCTCCACTTGCACCTGGCTGGATGACCTCGGGCAAGCTATAGTTCTGATAAGAGCTGTTCTCGAAAAAGAGTGGTTTCTGTCAGAGCTCTCTCAGCCCTGCCTACCTCACAGGGTGTCTGTTGTGGGGAGGGGGAGGGAAAGGAGTTTGTAAGCTGCTCTGAGACACCTTTGGGTAGTGAGGGGCGGGGTATAAATCCAATCTCTTCTTCTTCTTCGTTCCCCCTCATTCTTCCATTAAAGAAGAACTGGGAGTCCAAACTTAACCCCTTTGAAATAGCAGAATCGGTGCATAGGTTGGCTGCTTTTCTCCCTGAGGGGTAACTTGCTTTCTTCAAGTCTGAGGTTTTTGCTTTGCCTTCCCGCTTGGAGGATCCACTTTTCCAATTAAGCCACCAGCTGCTCTTGGAGATGGCCTCTCCCTCCTCCTTGGCCGGCTGTTGCGTTTCACCAGAGTGATTAGCTTGGCACTTTCACTCGGCAGTAGCCAGCTCTTTCTTTTCCGTGGGGCTTATTCAGGCCCTCACAGAGAGCCGTGGGAAGGGGACAAACTGCTTGGATTTGGGAGCCGCGTCTCTTTCTTGGGCACAGGTGCGCGCGCGTCTTGTGCGTGCTGCAGTGCCGAGGGAGGGCCGAGTGGAGCAGAAGCACAGGCCTGGCCCTGGGAATTGCCCTGCTCCCTCCCTCTCATCCGCCTCCGTGCTGGTGGCCGTCACACACTTAAGAACACAAGAACACAAGAGAAGCCAGTGTTGGATCAGGCCAGTGGCCCGCTCTGTCACACAGTGGCCAGAAATACCAGGGGCCATCAGGAGGTCCAGCAATGGATGCTAGAAGCCCTCCCACTGTTGCCCCCCCCCTGCAGCCTGAGAGTTCGTACCTATACCTTGTGGCTAATAGCCACTGATGGACCTCTGCTCCAGATGCTTATCTAATTCCCTCTGGAAGCCGTCCATGCTTGTAGCCGCCGCCACCTCCTGTGGCAGTGCATTCCATGTGTTCATCACTCTGGGTGAAGAAGTACTTCCTTTTATCCATTCTAACCCGACCACTCAGCAGTTTCACAGAGTGCCCACGAGAGTTCTTGTACTGTGAGAGAGGGAGAAAAGTACTCCTTTCTCGACCTGCTCTACCCCACGCATAATCTTGTAAACCTCGACCATGGCACCCCTTAGCTGTTGTTTCTCCGAGCTAAAGAGCCTTGAGCGCTTTAACCTTTCTTCATAGGGAAAGTGTTCCCACCCTTTTATCACTTTCCAGTAGCCCTCACATTCAGGCATTTCCTGGTAAGGGAGCGGGCTTTTTAATGGCTTTATAATGTTTAACCCACGAAATCTGTTTACCTGAGTCCCGTGTCTGCGATTGCGGGGGTAGTGAAGGCCGGGGGGGGTATAAATCTAATCTCTCCTCCTCCTCCTCCTCCCCCCCTCCTCCCCCCCCCATTAGAGTCCACGAGCTTAACCACTACACCGAACTGGCCAGGCTGCATTATGAGGCAGGGACATAGTTCTCTGAGTAGGCAGGCAGAGGATGTATTTTCTTCATGTGCAAGCTAGATTTCACTCCAGTTCCATGCATCCCTAACGGTAACCCATCAGATTGTGGACTCCAGAACAGCAGCTGAAGCTGAAGGAGCCTTCCAAATGCCGTTGTCCTCGCTCTAGGCCCCTGAGTGATCGGGCATCTGGGCCTTTCCTCTCTTTCTTGACCGTGGTATTCTCATTCCTCTGATTTCATTTCCTTGGAATCATATAGGCCATTAGAACATGCTCCCGTGCTGCTCTTTTAGTCCTGCATCGAGAGGTACACGTGGACGTGCCCTCTGTTGCACTGGTGGCTGCAGCGTTTGAAAACTCCCAGGCTGTCCGTACGATCTGCAGAGAGCCGTCGGAGGGAGAGAGCACAAAGCTTGGCCTGAGAGATGCCGTCCGTCACACGGAACAAGCCAGGCTTTTTGGCCTCTCACTCTTGCGCCACGAGGCATGTGAGCAGAAGCTCTGCTTATGCATCTAAGCAGGTCATCGTGCCAGGCAAGCGCCCGCCGTATGGCAGCGGTGCCCCCCCCCCCGGAACAGTCCACCTTGTGAGTAGATTTGACAAGTTGTGCTGCAGAATGTGACCCCCCCCCCTTTGTATAAACCTATAAACTTCCAAGAGCTGGGCCGTTAGGACAAGGAACAGAAGGAATCAGGGCAGGGGAATCAACGGCACTAGGCAGCCGTTGCCTGGGAACCGGTTCTGCACGGCGAGCTTTCCTGGGTCCCGCTGCCGTGCCCTTGGGACAGAGGGCAGAGTTCACAAGGAGTGCCCTCCTGCGTGTGCTCTCTCCGCTCCTCGAGCTTGCAGGGAAGATGTGCTGGAAGCAGTGAAGGAGAAGCAGCTGTGCCGAGAGGTATGGCAAGTGGGAAGACGCCCGGGGAGCTCTTTGATTATGAAAGAGGAGGAGGGGGGGGGGAGTTGCCAGAATGGTGTCCTTCCTGCGCTGGACGGAGAGAGCAAAGTTCTAGTCATGGAAATGATGACGGTTGGATGCAGAGTGTGCTCTGTGAAGCGTGTGTGTGTGGATTGCTTGTTTGCTTTAAGCCGCACAAAAGCTTCGGTGCTTCTTCTTAGGCTGACGGATTAGATCTGTGGGAGAGGCTTCCAGGCGGAGGGAGGCCGCTCTGCCCTGTCTTTAAGACCTCCGCCTGTATAGCTTCACTTGGGCGTGTGGAGAGGAAGGGGCTGCTTTCCTGTGTGGAGGGAAGGCCAGTGTGCTGAAGGAGTGCATGTGTGCATGGAGCGCGGTGTGGAAAGAACACTTCCGCAAAGCGAATGTGATCTGCTTGAGAATTGGTGTTCACCTGATTTTGGGGGGCTCTGGGCCATTTGGCGGTTCAGGAGATCCAGACTCTGCAGCCTTTTGACTCATCAGCCAGTGCCGCGAGGGCCTTTTGTGTGACTGAATGTCTCCTGTTTGGTGCAGTGGTGAAGTGCGCGGACTCTAATCTGGGAGAACCGGGTTTGATCCTCCACTTGCACCTGGCTGGATGACCTTGGGCAAGCCGTAGTTCTGTCAGGGCTGTCCTTGAAAAAGAGCCGTTTCTGTCAGAGCTCTCTCAGCCCCGCCTGCCTCAGAGGGAGTCTGTTGTGGGGAGGGGAAGGGAAAGGAGATTGTAAGCCGCTCTGAGACTCCTTTGGGTAGTGAAGGGCGGGGTATACATCCAATCTCCTCTTCTTCTTCTTCCTCCTCCTCCTCTTCCTCTTCTTCCTCTTCCTCCTCCTGTGGGAAGTGCACATGTGGAGCCCCAGCGGCTGAGTACCCAGGAAGGAGTCCCGGAGGCTGTGTGAGGCCTTTTTGAGCCTGGGGGTGCATCTGGAATCCTGACGAGGCCTGGTGGGCACAGCCGCAGAATGGCTGCCACCGAATGGCGGCTCCTGCAACTGAAAGCATCCCCATTATGTTTAGCTACTGGCGCTAGGACTCCTAGGCAGCCCGAGACCTTTGCACCTCTGCGGAGCATAAGTCCAATTCTCCCCCCCGTTGGTCCTCGGTTTCCCTCTGCGAGTGCAGAAGCAGCGCTGCCTCCCTGGGCGGGACCTGCAGCAGACTCCTCGGAGAGCCTGCCGGGGGGGGGGAGTGGGGGTCCCACCTCGGCAAGAGGCCTTTGTGGGGTGATTCTGGCCTCTGCGGCCCTGAACGGAAGCCCTGCTAAAGCCCTGGCATTTCCGCCAGAAAATGGGATTTGCCCAAAGAGAGTAAGCGGCAGCAGTCGAGATTAGGGCCGCACAAAGCCCCAGTTCATAACTGGGGGATTGAGAACATTCGAAGCCGTCAGCAGACCTCGGCACAAAACTTTTTTGCAGTTATCCCGCTAACGCCGCAGCAGTCTTTGACAGCTCACTAGGGGTCCGTGTTTCTCCTGCTGAGGTGTAATTTCAGAGTTACCTGTCGTGGCTGTTGTGTCAGCTTGCCTTTTGCAAAGAGAAGAAGGTCTTCACGAGTTGGGAGGGCAAATGCGCCGGCTCTGCTCTTGACGCTGGACATAACGCGCCCCCCCCCACTGCTCCCACATGGGACGCACTCTAGGATGCTCGGTTCTCTGCATGCGTTACCCTTCTCTGCCTTCACTCGTGCACAGGAATAAAAGTTGAAAGAGTGAGCCAGTTTTTCACTTTTAAGTAAGAGATGTTGCCCAAATGCCCACCTTTCCTGCTGTCCTCTAAGTCCGTGTTTCTCGGAGGCTGCCCGAGTTCCTTCCTGGGTGGTGGCCGCCGCCGCCCTTTCCCTCCTTAACCTTCTGTGCTCCGTGCACTTCCTGCTGCCACCCGGCTTCTGCCTGCCCTTGTTCCTCGTGCCCTCCCGTAGGCCGGCAGAATCCCAAGGAGACCTCCTGCCGTGCGTGAAGGCCGGTCAGGGGAGTGGGGCGGCGCCCTTTGTGCCCTCAGTCCTACAGGCCTGTAGAGCCTCTGTTGGCGTGTGCTCAGCACCTTCCTTGCTCGCTGAAGGGCGTTTTGTTTTATTCGCAGGAGCGGCATCCCGGTGGATTGGAAAGCGGCTGTTTCCTCGGGAGCCAGCCTTCGTGTGATGTGTGGGAAGGATACTCTGTAGAATGGCTCCTGATTCGGCCTGCCTCTTTCCCCAGTGCAGTGACAGGACCATGGAGACCAAGGTAAAGGGCACTGTGGGTAAAAGGCATTCTTGATAATGCAGAACTTATTTGTACATTACCAGGTCCCTTTCGCGTGGATAACGTTTGAAGAACCTTAACTGTATGTGTTTAAACAGCCACGTTTCTCAGTGAACTGTGTGCTGGGGATACAGCGGAAGTAGGTTGTGAATTAAAAAGGCATCGGAGGACATCTTGGCAGGGAGTCTAGAAGTCTGACTAGGCAAGGCCCTGTGGGTTGTCTGACTCTACCTTGAGAAGCCGGCGTTTTCCACATGGAAGCCCCTGGGCCACGAAGAGGTGGCAGAAACAGCAATTTTGGCAGAAGAGAAATTACTTATTATTAACCCCTTAATCACTAGCGTAGACCTGCCCTCTCTGGCGTGTCTCACTTCTGTTTATTTAATCAATCAGTAGCCTGCCCCATCCTGAAGGTTATTTATTTTATAATTTTATTTAAAACATTTATTAGCCAACTTTCTTTCCTGCAGAGCTTGAAGCAGTTTACAACATAGTTAAGACACATAAAATGAAATACATTATTGTGAGTGCATCTCAGACAGAACGGAACCTTTATTGGCATATAAAATCAGTAAGATAAAACTTCATCAAGCTAAAATTACATCTAATAATAATAATAATAATCTTTCAATGTATTGATTGCTCAATCCTGCAGAGCTTGCTGGCTCTGAGCGATTTACAGTTGCTCATTTTTCACGAGGGACTAACAGTGCAATGTGGGGTAAGGGAGGACAACATATATACATCGTAAATTGCACACATTCACAGCCGACGAGGGTTTCGTTCAGATGCAGATGAGACGTGATCCGGAACGGCATTTTTCTCGGCCGTTTTTTGATGGCGTCAGCTTTCTCCAGACTCTATAAATCTTAGAGCACACCAATATTGAGAATATAGTTTTTTGCTACCAAAATCTTAGACAAAAAATTCAGCAATCTGTACAGTCGCTTCTGGTGTCTTATCAGCAAGGAGGAACCTAATTGCGTTATCAGAGTTGATCCTAGACAGTAGGGGGTTAATCAAAAGTTGTCGGAGATACGAATGAAGGGGGCAGTGTGGCAGAATAGGGTCTAAGGTATTGGGTTCTCTAAGTGAGCATTGGCACATTCTGTCACATTTCAGGATGCCTCTATATCTACCTGAGAACCAGGATGAGGGGGAAACATTGAATCTGGCCAACATAAGGCTTTGTGTTGCAGCGGGGGTCACCAAATTAGAGAAATATTGTGCCATACTGTTTGGTGCATCTCTGAGACCAAACAAAAGGGGGGGAAACTAGTGCCCCTGGCACCAGCCTGGATTGTTTGGGCTGTGAGTGCATCTCATGATAAACTGGGCAGTGTACATGCCTATCAGCGAAAATGGCTCTTGGCGGCTGCTGGGCGAAGACAGCCGTTCTGCTGTTCTGTGGGGCCCGTAGCACCCTTCTGGCTCACTGCTGAGGACGGCCGGTATGGTAATCAGTTATTTGCAGTCAAACTGCTATGCTCAGTAATTAATGCTTATTTTTGCTGTTTTGATAGCACGTTCTCCTCCTCCTCCATGGGATCGTCTTAATTCCACTGGACGTTTAGCGAGAGCAATGGCAGCAGAAGTGGAAGTTGGCTCTGCCCTCCCTTCCTTGACCGCGCGAAGCGAACTCCCGAGCGAAGTGAAGCCGCAGCGCCCCTTTGCAGGCTCTCTCTCCGACTCAAGTCACAAGCCCGGCGAACTTCCCAGTTCTTTGTCTCCGCTGATTCTGGAAGAGAGAAGCAAATTTGGAAACCCTCTGAGACCAGCCACCATGCCTCCCGTCACTTCAAGACCGCGTCTGACTCCCAAGCCGTTTTCCCGGGAGACGTCTTCCGATACTTTTTCGGTGGTGAAACCTCCCGTCCCCACGTTCAAATCGAGTCATGTCGCCCCCAACCTGCCTGTGTTTGCCAAAACCTTTGACGATACGGCAGCTGCTAGGGGGTTAACGGGAAATGTTCCACCACTGGTAGATCAGAAATCAATTGAAGACAAAAGCCCTAGCGAGCTAGTGGCCAATATGCCCTTCGATTCCAGCCCCCAGGCAAATACCGTCATCCTTTTTGAAACTGGGAAGTCAGAGAAGGGCAGGATGAAGTTCACTCCGGAGAAGAGCCATCTTGGTTCACCTCAGATAGGTGGCACTTTACAAGCACCAGAGGAGCATCTGACCGCGTCAAAGTCAGAGGTGTTCTGCAGAACAGCCGGCCTTTACAGGCAGCTGTCTCTTTCCTCTGAATCCAGACCAATCTCCTGGAACCCCTGTGTGTCTCTGGAAAAGAAAGACAACTTGACAAGTGCTTCTGAGGAGAAGGGTAAAGTTATTCAAAGGCAGTACAGTGCTGGCGGTAGCCTGGCTTCTGAGGTGCAGCTGAGGCCAAAACAGAGGCCGGTGTCTGCCGTTTTCCTGGAATCCCTAAAGGATCAAAAGCAGTGCTGTTTAGAAGTTTCAGAGGAAACGTCTCTTCCCGAGAAGACTTGGGTTAGAAAACCTAGGCCGCTCTCTATGGATCTTACAGCAAAATTTGAGAACAGAGACCTTTCTTTGCAAAGGAAATCCTGTCCAACTGAGAGCAAGGAGAAGGACCTGAGCCCCGATCCCACCAAACAGGGTTCTGTCAGACCCTCTGAAAGGTGGACCAAGAACGAAGCCGGGGCTTTGGGCAGAGCCGATCCTTCAAAATCCAGTTTGAAAAGTCCCGGCCCATTTGCCGACTTTGCCAGTGTTCTGAGCCCGAAGCCCTTCCCAAGTGAGGAGGCCACCCCATGCCAGAGCTCTCAGAAAGACTTTTCCCACGTCCCTGCCAGGGACAGAAAATGCCTGTGGGAGTCCAAGCTCAAAAGGCACGGCGAACAAAATGCAAGTGAAATGGAGACCGAGACCACTCCGGAGAAAGTCATGGAGCCGCCCAGTGTCAAAGGCCAGTCAATTAAAGACAGAGCAGCATTAAGTCCAAAGGAACCATGTGCAGCGAGGAAGAACTGCACGTATAGGTCAGATCCTGAAAACCAGAGTTGGAGAGATGTTGAGAAACCCATTAATGTGCCAGATAGATCAGCAAATGATGCAACTTCAGGGAATGTCGAATCTCAGCCGGGAAGCCCTCGGGAAGAAGGCAGAATTCTGAACATTCAGCAGAGAATCAAAGAACTGACTGCAGAAAATACAGAAGCTAAGCCGGGAAGTCTACGCCAATCGTTCCGGTCCCGGCCACTTTCTGCAGACTTGACCAAACTGTGAGTTGTGGGAAAGTTTGACATAAACCCTCCACCTAAACAGTTCTTTATTAGGTTTTCTGTGGTCTAATTAAGATTTTCTTTGAGTGTTATGTTTTACCAGCTACCTGTGCCTTCATACAAATCTAGACAGTGAACTGTGTTTTATGTCATAGGGCTGGGGGCGATTGCTGGTGGTATTGCTGTTCTTATTTATTTAGAACAAAGTTTGAGTCCAGTGGCACCTTTAGGACCAACAAAGTTTTGTTCTGGGTATAAGCTTTCATAAGTATGCACACTTCTTCAGAAAGCTTGTACCCAGAATAAAACTTTGTCGGTCTTAAAGGTGCCCACTGGACTCAAAGGACTATTATGCACGGGCGTTATTTTTTTTTTTGACAAGCGGCATAAGTTTAGCGATATGAGACTATTTCTAGTCTCGGATTGCCAAATTAAAAAAAAAATTAAGTGACGGGGGAAAGTTTAAAAGGAGCTGTGCAAGGTTTAGTTACTTGCTGGTACTGACACGAAAGGGGGATCAGAGAGGAGGCGAAGGGCAGCGTCCCCAGGGCAGAACAAAAGAAAGGAGGGATCCTCAGCAG